TTTATGAGGGCTCTGCCTCTTATGAGTCACCTTTTAAAGGTCCTGCCTCCCCATATCATTACCCTAGCAATTAAATTTCAGCATGAGTTTTGGTGGGAACATTCAAATCATGGTATTCTGTCCTGGGCTTCCAAAACTTCTAACATACAAAATGAATTTATTTCATCCCAGTACCCCTAAAGTCGTAACTAATTCCAGCATCGATTTAAAAGTCCAAAGTCACTGAATCAGATATGAGTGAGATTCAGGCGTGATTCATCCAGAGGCAAATCCCTTCTAGCCATGAGCTATGGATCAAAGCAAGTTATCTATTTCCAAAACTCAGTGGTGAGACAGGTACAGGGTGGGCATTCCCATTCCAAAAAGGAGAAGGAGGCAGGAAGAAAGAAGTAACAGGCTCCAAGTAAATCTAATCCCAACAGAGAAAACAATCTGAAGTTTAAAGCTGGATAATAATCCCCTTTAATTCCATGTCCCTCGCCCAGAGCACACTGGGGTAGGGATTGGGTCCCCATGGCCTCAGGAAAAACTGCCTTGATGGCTTGGTTGGGCTCAGCACCACCCTAATGGGGACTGTTTGTGCCGGCGCCACCTCTAAAACAAGTCTCTGTCCAGGACCCTGGGCTTTCTGGAAGGTCTTTGAAGTTTAGGTGGAGGACACCATGCCCCACAGCTGTGCATCCTGTGCACCTGCAGAATTAACACGGATCCCATCAAAGTTCACGACTTCCAGAGCAGCAGGTTAAGCCAGACCTGGGACCACTTGAGACATGGCTGTGGCAGCTGAGGAATACTTTGTCACAATGCTGGGGACAGATCCTGAGACAGCTTGAGGAGCAAGGTGTTCCCCAGGCCTAGTTATTAGATCATCTAGTTATTAGATTAATGTCTCGTCTGCCTCCCTTCACTTCTTTCTTCATTGGGACAATCTAACGCTGGTGCTCAGTGTTTAAATGACTGGTTACGTGACCATTTAGTTGCTTTACAAGACATAGTGCCAAAATGGACGAACTCATTCCACCATACCAATTCTTGACCACCATATGCCATCCTCAGAAGTTTCTAACAGTTCTTCCTAGTTAGATTTTCTTTCTAGGTGCTGATAGACCAGGAATCTCATTATACTTGCCCCACCTCATCCTCACACCAACATACTTACTGATATATTTACTAAACTTAGTTAAAAAATAAAGTTGCACAGTGTGCAGTGTGAGGTATATTTGTGCAAAAAGAGAGAGCAATCCCTCCCCTCTCTTTTTAGTGAGGTTAGGGGTTACCCATCTCAGTTTTACTAAATAGAAGTGTACATTCCATATAGGAACACGAGGGCAAGTGTCCTAATGTAACTGTGACTCAACACACGTCTCAATGCCCTGCAGGATTCTGTGTCATTGACCACTGTGTTTACACTGATAAATTTTACTACAATTGAAGCGTTTGGCACTGGTAACATTTCCATCCTATATGACACCAGTGAAAAGGAAGAGTTTTCATTGGTGCCATATATGGCCTAACAGCCAGAGTGACCCTCAGATCTCACCCCAGTGGCGCACCTGTCAGGTAGATGCCATCTGCCAACATCCCTAAGGAGGTGCAGGTCTTCAAGTGTGAGATTGTCCACATTGTTACTTCAAGCATTGTTGAACAAGACACTTCCTGAGACACATAGATTGACAGTAGCTTTTGATGCTTCCCCGATCAAGGAGAAAGAGGGTCTTTTCAGGGGCTCCTCTACTCTGGGGACAACTACACAGTATGGCTCTCACAGGGGAGGAGAATTCTCATCAGTATGTAGGCTTTCATGTTGATAGTGGAAGGGGGCTATGGTGTGTAAGCATCTCTCTACATCAGGATCTCTGCTAAAGGCCCTCATCTCCACCCCCCACCTTCTCTCTGTCTCAACTTCAATATAGTCAGTTCCTAAACTGTGAGAGGTAACTCCAATCTACCAATCTACTTAAAAGAGACATAATTTTGTAAAATAGAAATTCCAAAAATACTTCAAAAGTTTATATTATCAATGGAAGTTTGACATACCACATTAATTATGAGAGGGAAAAATGAAAACAAGGAACAGTGAATGCACCAACTATTATTTATAAAACACAGCATGCCAGACATTAGGCTTCTGCATATTAGCTCATTGAATATGTGAAGTTTAGTTAAAAAATCAAAATGTTTATATAATAGATAAATGTTAGATTCTCACATGAATATGTTTTCATAAAACTACATATTGTCACTGTCCAGATTCAATGGGCTCCCAAAAACATATCAGCTTGAGAGCCTTTCTTGTGTCATTGCCTTATTCAGTGTAATAATTATTGCTTATAAAAATGTTTTAATCCAGTGATAATCCAGACTTAGTGCTTTCTTCCATCCTGATGTATTTTATTTATTGCTCATACTGTATTGGGGAGTTCACATGGGAATGTTAGTTGGCACTTTCTGATTATCTTATTTAAAATCGAAAAAAATTTCAGAAATACGTGGTTGTGGAGGGTAACTAGCAAAGTCTCAGTTCATGTCCCGTGTTGAGTTACCTGAAAGGAGATGCTCAGAGGAAGCATTGCAGGCCGAAAGCCTCCTGGGAGTGTATTTTCAACAGGCACGTCAGCAAGGATGTGAGGGAGGCAGAATGAGTGGAGGGAGAATCTTCTCTGCGAAGCTGTGGCAATAGCAGTCTCAGGTGGGATGCGCCTGCAGCATTGTTGCCACTTAACATGAGGAGTCCGGGCCTGTGGAGCCACCTTTGACCAGTCATTGCCTGCAGGCCTCAGACAAGGCAGTTCCCTGTGACTGGGGCTCGTTCCCAGTGTGGGAGTCAGCAGAGGACCTCTCCAGTTGCTTTGGGGCGGGGTACATTGGCCTGAGAGAGGAAATCTGAAAAAGAGCCACACAGTGTCCACTTCAAGTGGCAACAGGGAAGAACGTGCCTTACATCTTGCTGTGAGTAGAGTCAACAGCATCTATTCAGCCTTGTGTCAATGCTTGGATGCTGTGTTTCCTCAAATAATTATAAGTGATAATTATTACATTGAATAAGGCAATGACACAACAAAGACTCTCAGGCTGTTATGTTTTTGGGAACCTGTAAACAAAAAGATGACGAAATTAACATTATTTACAAAGAGGGAACCACCCGCTACCCTCACATTTAGTGAGCAGCTTAAATCTTGTTATTATGAATCCGATCGTCTTTGTAAATGATGTTAATTTCTTCATCTTTTTCTTACCAAATCATGCCAATTAACTATAGGCAAGGCGAGGGACACATGTATTTTATCACACAGGCTTAGTAGCAACCCTGGCATGTGGCAGGAGCCTGGAACCCTTCAGCCCCACACCATGGAGAAAGACTAGATCAGGAAGCACAGGCTACAGACCCACTCTATAGAGAGCTGCCTCTAATCCCCACCCAAATGAGGGAGACTGTTTTGCTACATTTGGTTCTAAGATGAGAAAACACAAATCACCAAAACCTTCATCAGAAAGACTGAATCTGGTTCTGCCACTTCCTGGCCCTGAGTCTTTGGTCCAGTGACAGCCTTGTGAATCTCCATGTCATCGTCTGCAATGTGGAGCCTTTATTTACCAAGCAGAGCTGTTGATTTCAAATATTATAAGATTGTCTGGTACAAAGTACTATGAAGCATCTAGTAAATGTTATTCTCACCTCTGTCCAGTGAAGTTCATTCAAAATATCTGGGGTCTCCTACAAATATGTATCTAGTTATGCACCTGCTTTAGAAAGTCACAGAGGGGATAGCCCCTCTGGATTCCCCTCCCACAACAATGTGGGAACTTGCTTTCTCTCTCTCTGCCTAATAAATTGCTCTTTGCTTTAAAAAAAAAAAAGTCCCAGAAAGGCTCAGATGTGTGACAAGTAGGATTTCATTATATTTATAAATCTTTTGTTTAACTTATAAACAAGTTGTTTTATTTTTTCTGTAAGTTAAGTTTTATTTTTTCACATAACCAACACTCCATAAACACTTGTTATAGGCCCTTAAATGAATTAAAAAGCCCAATGTGTATGAACACATTTGCTGATATTTACTTGTAGAAGTAAAAGAGAAACAATTTAAATGAGAAGAGCAGGAAAAGAGTTCATAAGAATATGTATAAATTGTGCATTCACTGCTATTTACTTATGAAGTCAGTATAGAACAATGGAATTACATAGATGATGTATGAGAGAATGAAACAGTTATAAAAGGTACATTTTATATATGCACACTTCAGCACAATATAATTATATAGATAAGGCATGGAGGCAGGTGGACCAGAAAGGAAATGTAAAAATCAAACCAGACACTGTGTGCTGGTGGACTTGAGTCGTGCTTTTGTCCAAATTCTCTTTATTGTTTCATCATATTTTCAATAAAAAGTGCATTGTTGATTTGGCATTCTATTTTCTGGCAACCAATGGTATTTTTAAAATGCTTTACATGTGATTTTAAATTTTAATATAAAAGTATGGTTAATTTTATTCAATAATAATCCTGAGTGTACCTACTAATGAGAGCAATTTGATCCAAGCAACAGGATCTAGGCATTCACGCATTCAGCTCCCCTTTATGGAGAGCCCATTTACAGCTGGGCTCTCCAATCAAGACCTTGTCCTCATGAGGCTTATCTCTAGTGACAGAAGATAGACAATAAGTGCCTAAAAAATACATAATATTGCAGTCCAATAGTGGTCAGTGTGGGGACAGAACAGGGCTTGAGGGACGAGGCAAAAAACGAATCTATTAAAAGTTAGCATCCAGGATAATTTAACAGTTTGTGTACAGAATGCGAGATTAGGATGGCGCCCTAGATTTTAGTATCAGCCTCTCTGCATTTAGAGAAAATATGAATTGTTTGGCTTTATTTGAGCCTGAGCCTCAGCCTCATGATTAATTTTCAAGATAACGTTCTGAGGCCAGATTGATTGAACTGCAAATGTCAAAGGCATGTTTTATTTACCGGTGGATCCCTGTGTTGTCTTCTTGCAGTTTTCAGTGAAGACCTACACTCCAGCCTCTACTTTGTCAATGCATCTCTGCAAGAGGTAGTGTTTGCCAGCACCACGGGGACCCTGGTGCCCTGCCCCGCAGCAGGCATCCCTCCTGTGACTCTCAGATGGTACCTAGCCACGGGCGAGGAGATCTACGATGTTCCCGGGATCCGCCACGTCCACCCCAACGGCACTCTCCAAATTTTCCCCTTCCCTCCTTCAAGCTTCAGTACCTTAATCCATGATAATACTTATTATTGCACAGCTGAAAATCCTTCAGGGAAAATTAGAAGTCAGGATGTCCACATCAAGGCTGGTGAGTACAGCTCTGGGCTTTGCTTTTTATCCCCCCTGTGCCTGCTTGGGGTGGGAGGACAATGACAAATAGCAAAATGCCATCGCAGCAGAGAACCAGTGAAACCCCATCATCAGTTCATTCAGACCTTGCTGATGACTTCTTTAGGATCTCCTTGTTTAGATTTCAGAGTGCTGTACATTATTGGAACTAAACCTTGAAAGAAGGCATGATTAGCAAGTTGGCAAGTTCTAACATCCCAGCCTCCTTATATCTGATCTAATTTGATACTCTGATTCAAATTTTCAGTGTCTCAGACCCAATATGTTTGCTTCCACCCCTCTTTTACCCCCCTTCACCCGTCCCCTACCCCATCCTAGGGAAGGAGAAAGAGAGAGAAAAAAATGACAAATGGTCGAGCTGGAATAAAACCATAGCATCAAGATGTACTGTTATGGAAACAGAATCAATCTAATATCCTTGCTTTCCTTGTGAAATAGAAAGGCTATTTTAACATTTTTTGACTGTATCACATGTTGCTGAAATGTTGTCGGTGCATAAATCCTGAATGGGCTATGTTCCTTTTAACAACATATTGTGTCTTTTTTTAATCACCATTGCTACAAGTCAACCCAGGAAAGAATACTGCCTGAGATACACAGACATCAAAGGCTATATATACAGGACAGATTGTGTGGTTCTATAGATTTAACAAAGCCCTACAAAACAAACTCACAGCTAGACTCCTGTTAGCAAACAGCATTTTAATTTTTTTAAGTCTAGCTCTGAAATACTTGTGTAGACTGACATATAATAGCAGGGCAAAGAGAATATGACTTTGATTTTTTTTTCTTATACAACAAGTAGCTGCAATAATTTCTTCAATAAGTGAGTAGGTGCTGGTAGAAGACATCACAACATGAGAAAAATATGAGGTGTTTCTGAATTCATGCATATGATCTCTTTGATGTAAGCCATCAAACATTAGACTATGACTCATGCTGCTAGCTAGTCATTTTCCCAACTATATTTTGATCTCAGTGACATGCTCATGAATTCTAAGACCTGCATGAGAATTCACATAAGGGGGGGGGAAGATTGTCTTTAATCAAGATATATGGAAATTTGATGTGTCAAATAATTACAATAAAGCAAATGCAATTTGTATAAGGACCTCTAAACCTGACAAACAGGGAGATTTAGTGAATGCCTTTTACTGGGAAGACTGCACATTTTAATGACATGTTATAAAAGCATATCTGTAATCTACAAAACACCACTTATGGAGAAACCTAGAATTTCAAGTAGCTATACCTGTATGTATTAATCCATTATGCCTGCCTTGGGTTTTCTGTCAGATAAAGGAATGAAATGCTTACTCCTGTTTTAACTGCCATCTTCTAAATTCGTCATATAATTGATTGTTTTCGCATGACACTGAAAGTTTTGGAGCATAGAAACTGCATCATCTTGTCTGGCATCGGTGCCACCTGCCCCTTCTTACCCAGTTGTGCTTTTACCATCTACGTGCTGGCATTCTTGACATCTAAAACCCTATGGACTATGAATCCAGCAAATAGATAACTACTGTATCAGTTTGAACATGTAAGATGGGCATTCATATTGCCCAAATCAAATTTCTCTTCTAATTTAATTTTGCTTTTTATTATGAACACATAATGGTTATAATAATCTTCTAGATTAATAATCTAGATTGTTCATTGGATACTTGAAAATCTGGTTTCACCCTTTTTGTGTAAATGCGAGTACAGAACTAGAAGCTTGTTCAAAAAGGCAGATGAAGGGCATAAGTGTTACCCTTTGACAGCTGAATTGTAGGATGGAGGCCAATGACTATTCACTCATAGGATATCCTCTTCTGTATCAGGTTATCCTAAATGTGTAAGTATCCCTGGAGATTGGTGTTTAGATTGTCCTGGCATAAGCTATTAGGCAGAATGACTTCATAATCTATCCTTTGGCAGTGCGAGGGATTCTCCTTCCTAATTTTCAGAAATGTTGATCTAGGTCTGGTTACTAGCAGTTAAAGGAAGATTCACTCATCATGTCTCATTAATCACCAATCCTAGTTCTCACATGAGAGTTTTGTTTCTGTCCCACTCTAAGGGCTGGAATGCGGGTGGGCCACTTGAGACAGTGTTGCTCCTTACCCAGGCTGCCTTTACTACATAGCAAGTAACAATCAGCCATATGATTTTGGGGAAGTCAGAAGATTGCTCATGATTGTTTTCTCCTAGCAAACTGTGCTTTCTAACATTTGACTAGGACTTTTGACTGTGATCGAGATGGAGGTGCAGGAGCCAAATGTACCCTTTTATCTGAAACAGCCAAAAACCAGGGTCCTGAGACTGATATGGTTGGGCTTTGTGTCTGCACCCAAATCTCATCTTGGATGATGATCCCCATAATCCCCACATGTCCTGGGAGGGACCTAGTGGAAAGTAATTGAATCATGGGGACATTGTTCCCCATGCTGTTCTCGTGATAGTGAGTGAGTCGCATATGATCTGATGGTTTTAAAAGCAGCTGGCACTTTCCTTGCTGACACTCATTTTCTCTCCTGCCACCCCGAAGAGGTGCCTTATGCCATGATTGTACCTTTCCTGAGACCTCCCCAGCCATTCAGAACTATGAATTAAATAAATCTTTTCTTTGTAAATTACCCAGTCTTGTGAGAACAAACTAATACAACCAGCCAAACAAAAACAGACAAAATATCTGAAGCAACCATATGTTTTCTTCCTTCCTTCCTTCCTTTTCTCCCTCCATCCCTCCCTCCCTCCTTCCCTCCCTCCTTCCTTCCCTCCTTCCCTCCCTCCTTCCTTCCCTCCCTCCTGCCTTCCCTCCTTCCCTTCTTCCCTCCTTCTCTCCCTGCTTCCTTCCCTCCCTGCCCTCTTCCCTCTCTCCTTTCTCTTTCTCTTTCTCTCTCTCTCTTTCTTTCTCTTTCTCATTCTTTCTGATGGAATTTCACTTTTGTTGCCCAGGCTGGAGTGCAATGGCCTGATCTTGGATCACTGTAACCTCCACCTCTGCGGTTCAAGCGATTCCCTTGCTTCAGTCTCCCGAGTAGCTGGGATTTCAGGCATGCGCCACCACGCTCAGCTAATTTTGTATTTTTAGTAGAGACAGGGTTTCTCCATGTTGGTCAGGCTGTTTGTGAACTCCCGACCTCAGGTGATCTGCCTCCCTCAGCCTTCCAAAGTGCTGGGATTACAGGTGTGAGCCACTGCGCCTGGCAGAAGCAACTGTTTTCAAGATTGGACCTCAGGCAGTGAAGGAAAGTGATCCACCTTGGAAATAAGATGTGTCCTATGATTGACTTATATTTCTGGATAAAGGACACCAAAATCTGCACATAAATTTGTATAGAAACTTTATTCATGATTACCAGAATAATAGAAGCCACAAAGATGTTCTTCAATATGTGGATGGATGGTGATAAAGACTCTCTCCTTGACTAACTTTGGAAAGGCTCCCCTGGGCATCCCTCTCAGCTAGCCCTTGACCTTAGCTTTTCATGTCTGGTCTCCGGTTCCCAGCTTTCACAAGAATCCTGCTAAATCATCCCCTTACTATTGATATTTGATCATTCTTGATATTTGATCAAGTTCTTCCTCTCCCGTCTTTGATGTATATATGTTTGGCCTGACTTTAGCAAGAATCTGTTAGGCCAGTTTAGCAAGAATCGCCATATCCTTGCTGTCTCCTCTTTCTAAGTTTCCACCCACTGATCCCCTCACTCTGTTCATTGGCTATAAACCCTCACTTATCCTTGTTGAATATGAACTTGAATTACCCTTCCCTATGGAGTTATCACGGATGACTGGAAAAGACCTGAATAAAATCTTCCTCATCTTTGTAATAAGTGTTAGAACAATTTTTCTTAAACAAAATTATTTTTTGAGAGGACATCTCACTCTCTTTTCTAGGTCGGAGTGCAGTGGTGTGATCGTGGCTCACTGCAGCCTCAACTGCCTGGGCTCAGGTGATTCTTTCACCTCAGCTTCCCAAGTAGCTGACACTACAGGCATGAGCCACCACACCTGGCTATTTTTTTTTTTAATTTTTTTTGAGAGGGATATCATTATGTTGCCCAGACTGATCTCAAATTCCTGGGCTCAAGCCATCTGCCTGCCTTGGCCTCCCAAAGTGTTGGGATTACAGGAATGAGCCACAGGGCCCAGGTACAATTTTAATTTAACATTAGACAAATTATAGTATAAAATGAAGTGTTAGTCAGCAACAGAAAATAATGAGCTATCAAGCTATGAAAAGATATGGGGAAATTTAAATGCATGCTACTAAGTGAAAGAAGCCAATCTGAAAAAGCTACATAGTGTATGCTTCTACTTACTTCACATTCTGGAAGAGATCATCTAGAGAGACAGTAAAAAGATCAGTAGTTTCCAGAAGATAGGAGGGAGTAGGAGTTGAACAGATGGAGCCCAGGGGATTTTTAGGGTAGTGAAATTGTTCTGTATGTTACTGTAATGGTGGATACCTGCCATTATGCATGGATATTTCAACATAGAGTGAAGCTTCATGTAAACTATGAACTTTAGTTAATAATAATAATGTATAAATATCAGTTTATTAATTGTCACAAATGTATCACACTAATGCAAGATGCTAATAATGAGAGAAATTGAAGGAAGTGATGAGAGGGAGAATATAAGAACTTGCTATTAATTTTTTCTCTAAACCTACAACCACTCTAAAAATTCAAGTTTATTCCAAAAAATTAAAACATACTTCAAGTATGTTTGAAGTATGTTAACGAGAAATTAAACCCCAAGGGAAGGGTTGGTGTGATTAAAAAGAAGTGGAAAAATGCTGACCAAAATTTTCCAAATGTGATGAAAACTATAAACCCACAGATTCAAGGAGCTCAACAAACCCCAAGCTCAAGACATGTGAAGAAAAAATGCATCAAGGCATATCATCATAAAATTGCTCAGAGCAGTGATAAAGATAAAATATCAAAAATAGCTACAGAAGAA